CTCACACACACACACACACACACACACACACACACACACACACACACACACACACACACACACACACACACACACACACACACACAATTGTCTGGTGAGTCACAGCATTAGCAGTCATATCGATTTCTTCCTTTATGCTTTTTCTAACCCGTTGTAAAGAAAAGGTGAACCACCCCCCCTCTTAGCACCAAACCAAAGTCATTGCAGCAGTCCACTGAATAATAACACATTATTACATAATCCAGAGTCATTACCTCCAAAGTAGTGTGAACATTCGCATTATGTAAGAGCTACACAGTGCACTTGTCATACTTTAATTCAGTATTATTATTATGTCATCTGCAGGAATGAGTCCTAAAATGTCCTAAACTTCATCACGCCCAACATTAGCTGCCTTTAGCTTAGCGGTGGTGACGTGAAGTCATGTGACCGTGCTGTAGTTCCTTTATAGCCCAACATTAGCCACCTTTAGCTTAGCGGTGCTGACGTGNGGGCGTCGCAGCCATTATATGAGGGTGGGACAAGTCCCCCCCACTTTTTCAAATGATTAGTTTAGACCCCCCCACTTTTACCATGTGGAATGTCCGTGAATCGGTCTATCCACTCGCCGCACTTCACGGACATTCCACATGGTAAAAGTGGGGGGGTCTAAACTAATCATTTGAAAAAGTGGGGGGGACTTGTCCCACCCTCATATAATGGCTGCGACGCCCATGATGCGCACACAGTTTTGCATGAGAGCAAACCTATCTCTCGCTCTGACATCTGGAAACGGAAAAGCAGGTTTATTGCTTATGGATTATCAGAAATCGTTTCAAAGGGACACAGACACATTGGATTAACCAATGGATTAACTTCAGCAGCGTTTTTATCGTTTTAATGCCATTGAAGACCTCTTTTGTTAGGCTCCCCGAGAAGTGACTGGAGATGAGAACCCACTATGCAAGTACTAAAACAGAGACAGTGGTGAAGTGTCAAAAAAATCTTTATTTTATCCACGACACTGGCAAGGAGTTGACGATAGAGGGGAGACGTGGAGCTGGGCTGACCAGGCGGGAGGGCTGGACGTGGCAGGCAGAGCGGCTGGAGTATGTGGATCTGGAACAGGAAAAACAAGCAGGATTAGGAAAGAATTTCCTTTCACAAAAAGCATCAAAAAGTCACTAGGGAAAACACTAGTAGGCCTGGACGATAGTTTACCACTGAAGAATAAACGAAGAACTGGCGAAGTCTGAGGATGGGAACCAGGGTTTTAAGTGCAGGTGAGTAGTGGCAATCAGTGAGATGAGCAGCAGCTGAGGAGGTGAGTTGGGGGGAATCGAAAATAGGACAGCCACGCCCAGCCAGGATGACAGACACACAGACAAAACAAACACAGAAGGGGGAAAAGAAGGAGGAAGTACTGCAGATCCTCACAACTTGCTGTGGGGTAGCTTGACGTTTCATAGAGGGTGCTCAAACATTAAGGGTTTCCCATTAATGCACCAGCGCTACAGTTGAATTTTCTACTGCAACACTCCCCACGCACACACAGTGTACCCGCGACTGTTACAATGAAGGCTCGGTATCAGCCCACGGCATATAGGTGTAAGCAGGAGTAAAGTGCTATTTTTACAAGTGGGGAGTGGACCCCACCTCCTCTAGGAGGGTCCTCACCTCCTCTATTGGGGAAGATTTTTTTTTAAATATTGAAGTTAGAGGCATCAATCTGGTGCACTTTGAGAGCAAAATTAAGAGATCTATGGATACATCTCTCAACATACAGTACATATGAAACAGAACTGTAAACAGATTTTCTATTTCTTTATAGATATTTTACAAATCACTCCCCTTTTAAAACAAACCGTTTGAGACCCACTGAGATAACTAGACTAAAGTGAACTATCTAAACACTGAGAGTCCTTTATTTCACCTGAGCTGAGGTTATCTGAGACTCTCAGTCTGACAGGAGGAGAGAGTTCTCCCTCCACCTTGTTGTTGAAAAAGCTCCTTATATCCGTTAGCTTGGCTAGCTAGCACCAGATGCTAACCACAACGATCTCCGGTAGAGTGATCTCCGGTAGATACCCACCGGTGCGCGAGCTCTCTCTCTCTCGCTCGCTTGCGCACGCACACAAAATGGCTCGTGCCACACACACACGCACGCACACACACACACACACACACACACACACACACACACACACACAGAGCTTGACACACGCACACACACACACACACACACACACACACACACACACACAGAGCTTGAATGAAACACAGAGACCCAAGTAAGCTACTTGTACTCACGAGGCCTATTATGTGCATAATCCCTCTCGCTTTCAGTTGGTTTTGATTGAGTGTCCACACGTGGACGTTTAAGGACTAAAAACGATCAATTTGTCACTTTGCTGTTTGCAAATATTTTGGGGCTCCAGCTAACAGGAAGTCACTCAAGTGTCACAAAGTAATTTAGCCTATGGGTAGGTAAAAAATCTAATGGGTGGTGGCCATTGGCCTAATCATATCACCTGTGTTGGCTTTATGTTTTTGGTCAAACATTTGTTTGTTTCACATTTGCATTGATGTAATCAATAATCTTTCTGATTTAATTTAATAAAAATAATCATAATAATTTTCGAAAAAAACAAAACATATTTCTAGGGGGTGCTTAGGGGGTGCTTTGGCAATCCTGGGGGGTGCTTCAGCACCCCCTAGCTCCCCCCTGGCGCCACCCCTGTTTATCAGTAGACAAATGCAGGAAATTACTTTTTTAATGCAGTATTTTCTGATTTATGGCGCAACACAAAGATATTTCGCTCTGTGGAAACCTTTTAATATGTCAACAACATGAAACAAGAATATGAACCTGGCTTCTTCTGATAAATGCATAAAATGATGCAATATATGTTAAATACATGGTTTACATGTAATTACTGGGTTCCATTTCTTCTGATTACCTAATTTGGGCGTGCACATTTGCCGCGCGCAAACCTACCTCTTTTGGATTTGGAAAGGTTGGCATGTATGACATTATATAATTCCCTATAATCTCTATATTTATATTCCACAGTGGAAGCCACTGCAACCCAATGTCCCCTATGGATCAATAACGTTTTTCTGATTCTGATTCCAATTACCTTAGTTATCTTACAAAACACAAATTCTTCAACATACCGTAATTCACTGCAGATGTATACTAAACCATCCCTGTGCTTGGGTCACGTAATGAACAGTTGGTGGCGCTGGTACCCGGATGAGGAACTGACATGACCAGTTTATATGAAGAAGAAGAAGAAGAAAGCAGCCGTTCCATGGAGACAAGCGAAGCCTCAGTGGTCGCTATGCAAAAAGTAGGCACTTTAAGACCAGAAGTTGGCGAAATTATCAACTGTTTTATGTAACCTAATTCATGCGAAATTCTAGCATGCTTTGAAATGCCTCGAAATTAGTTATATGAAGCACATGTGTAATTCAAAGTGCATCGTATATAGTTAGCGTAGCAAGCTAACGCTACTCTCTCTAAACAGTTACAGTTAGACAGGCAGTATTAGAAAAAGCGTCGGTTTAAAGATGTGGAAGCAGGGCGGTCGAAGCTCCGCTCTGGACCGAGCTCAAGCCCTGCTGTCCGCTAAGAGGAGCGGCGGAGGGGCCGTGGGGTCTGCGGGGTCGCTACACTCAGTGAGTCTACATCTTTAAAAGGTTTCAGAGACCTGTGGTGTTAATCCATGTTATGTTTTACATATGCAAATTATTCTTCTTCTCTCCAGGATGCTGTGGGTGGATCGGTTAAAGCCAGATCCTCTTCCCCCCACACACACGCTTTATTGTCGGATGTCAGCGACCTGTCCTCGGTGAGCTCGGCTCCTGAGCCTGGGGTTGACACCCTGCTGGGCTCTGCTGCTGCATCACAGGGAGAGGGTCCTCCTACCCAGGTAAACAACTTCAGAATGTATTTCTAACTGATGCTGGATTGCTCAGGAAGAGAATGCAATGTTTTTTTTAAAGTCCAATTTAGCCATCAGCCTTTCCTCTGCCAGGATCTCAGACCTCAGATTCCTGTGGGTGGAGGAGGGAGCAGGTTCTTGAAGAAGGCTCCTCCACCTGCCATCCACAGCAGCCAGTCTCCTGTCCGCAGTCGCCATATGCAGCAGGTGCCTGAACACAGGTACGTCTGCACTATGGGTGGAAAGTAAAAGCACTACTACCTCACTGTAAAAGATACTTGGTTACAAGTAAAAGTCCTTCATTACAAATGTTACATAAATTATGTAAGTATAATCAGGAAAATGTACTTGATGTATTAAAACTAGGTACTTAATACAGTAAATGTCCAATGTGACTGATAAATCATTACATATCATATCATTAGATACTTTTTACTCATGCATTAATGAAAAAGCAGGATTTTACTTTTGTAGGTTGTTAAGGTGAAGCTAAATTTGGATTATTATCAAACCAACAGTACCTACCTCAAAATGATAAAAAAAAATAATCAGGAAAGAAGCATAATTTAACAAATAATCACATTTCAGAAGTAAGAACAATTAAACTATATTTTTACGTGAGAAAAAAGGTTTTGTAGAGTTGTTATAGTAACTCTCTTTTTATCTTATCTTGATTTGTACAGTAATACGTAACTACGTAATACAACAATTTTAAGTTGTCAGATAAATGTAGTGGAGTAAATCACAATGTTTCCCTCTGAGGTGTAGCTGAGTCCAAGTAAAAAGTGTCATGAAAGAAAAACACTTAAGTAAAGTCTAAATACATGCAGTACTTAAGTACTTGGTGACAGACATTCTGTTCTGTGTTATATACATAGATAAATGGTGCTGTTGTTTTCTACCACCCAATCCAATGATTCTGCTCAAAAGATGTCCTGTTCTGATATTTTGCTCTGCTGCTGAAACTCAATTGCTGTGTATTTATTTTCATTCATCCACCAGGAGTGTGTCATCTTCTCAGCACGGCTCCCAGGCTGCTGCTTTGAGTAAACTGGCTCAAATTGAGAGCCGCGTCCGCAGCCGCATGCAGGTTCAGGATCATGGCCCCGCTGAGAGTGTGACCTCCAACATGGGAGCAGCGTCTCCGTCCCAGGAGGCCCCTGTGAGACTCTCAGCACAGTCCAGCAGTGAGCAGAGCAAACACTTCCTCAAGAATACAACAGCTGGAGCTGCTGGCAGTCCTGATGTTGGTGTGAGGTCCAGATCTAGAGCTGCTGAGTCTGCAGGTCCTGCAGCAGGTTTGGACAGGAAGCCAGTGAGAGGAGTGAGTCTGGAGAGTGATGAAGAGGACATGAGGAAGCTGCTCGGAGAATCCTTGGATTCAGAAGACCACAGCTTCCTGACCCCAGTCAGAGCCTCTTCTTTAAGAACTGCAGACAAGGTACTTTCTGCTTGGTGTCCACTCCCTCTATCTACAGCTTTACATATCCTAGATAAGCATGGTTTGTATTTTAATTTTCAGGGGGTATAATAGCTCAGGGACCACCTTTGCCAAATGACAGGCAGCCAGGGTCCAGTAAATAAACAAACATTACATTCATCAGATAATCAGAATATTCAGGAACATTTAGGAATGAATTGACTTGTTAACTCAAAGAACTTGGAAGCATAATAATTTAAACCTGGCCTAGATGACAGATAAATCACATATTTAATTTATTTTTCCCTTTCCTGTAGTGTGTTACATCGTCTTTGTGCATTAAGTGGATTAACTCCCAAAGTTAATCTCTAAGCGGTTGACCAATCACAACAGAGCCGGCCAGCCAACCAATCAGAGCAGACTGGGCTCTGGTTTCAGACAGAAGGTGAAAAGAGATGCTGCAGCACAGGCAGTATGAGAAAGATAAAGAGCTTTGTGAACATTAAAGCATGGAGACAACAAACAAAATACAAATATGAACCCAACATTTGCAGAATATGTCCTCTTTAAGAAAATGGAGCTGCTGTAAATGTTTATATAACATTAAATATAACTGAACCTCTTCCATCATGCAATCCTTTACATATTTGAATAGTTCACACTAGGGCTGCACGATATTGGAAAAAACATTGCGATTTCCCCCCCCCCCC